GTGTGCCACCACACCCAGCTAATTTTATTTTTTGTAGAGACGAGGTCTCACTATATTGCCTAGGCTAGTCTTAAACTCCTGGGCTCGAATGATCCTCCCACCTTGGTCTCCCAAAGTGCTGGGATTACAGGCATCAGCCACCATACTCAGCTGTATTTTTGCTTTAATGAATCCATACTTGCAATGCTCACAACTTCCTGTCATTTAAAATATAAATTTTAACAACCTATTTCCAAATCTTGTGCTTCATCAAGTTCACCACATTTTGTAAGGTAGAACTCAATTTCTTCCTCTCCCTCCAGAAAAAGTATATTTGCCTGTGTCCAGTTTTCCAACACTTCTGCTCTCTTAGACGGTTACTCAAACATCACTTATCAGTAGGATCTCTCAGTCTCTCCAAAGGATCATTTATGTGAATGGCAGGGCTTTCAGCTAGGGTCCCTGGAGACTCCCGCACAAACAACTGCCTTACCTATCTTAAGCTACATTTCTCCCTTATGAGGAAGATTTTCTTCTTACTTTGCTTGTTTGAAGTTTATTTTATTTTGTGAAAAATAAAAAGAAGAATGAGATGGAGCCATTCTCTTTTTACTCTGTTAAATCACTGTAATGCTATAACTTGCTCATTACATATAACTGTGATAACATGTAATGAGCCTTTGGTCTGGCTGTGAAACTCTCCATACAAAATCCTTTTGTTGCCGTGGCATTTGTCAACAGTTCAGCTTAGTAGTATTTCTCCAACACTGGTATCACAGGTCGTTACTATCCCTTCACGCCTGGGCACCCCATACTTTTCTCACCACCTCTGAGAGACATCCCTCTTCAGCTGATCCAAAAGCAGGATCAAGCCACTCGGCCCCCATTTCCTCCTCACAGCAGCAATTTTGATTACATCGATTTCAAGCTCTCCAATTCTCTGACCATTTTCCCAGTTATGACTCAGGACCTGGGTCACAGGAGAGCATTTCCCCAAATATTTGTGAAATCTGATTTCTGAAGTCCACAGCATATTTCTTATTAAGTGCAAGATTCTTCTCCTAGCCCCGCCAGCTAAAACAGACTTTAAGATGACAAACACAACATGGCTCACCCATGACCCCTGTTAGTCCTCCTTCGTTAATGACGCTGCTCACTGAGAGGTAAAGCCACAAAGGAAGGACAAGTCAAGAACATATCAGTGCACCCTGAGCTGAATACCGTTTAGAGCAGAAAGGTAATTAGTTCCCACGCTAGACTGCCTCTGAGTTTTAAAACACTGTAACTCGGTTCTGTGTCCCTTGTAAGCCTACAATAACATCCAACCTAGGACACGAGATTTTCAGTCCACAAAAGCTTCATCTCTAAAACTCTCTTCCAGAACATCTTGGCAAATCTTTCCTTATTTCCAAGAAACTTTCACAGGACCAAAACTTCTGAGTATAATACTTAATCATTCTTGGAGAAATTCCCAAAAGAAAAAAGGTTTTACCTTTTGAGAATTAATCTTATTTCAGGTACCCTCTCTCTCATTCCCGGGCGCCTCTGTCAAAACAGGGACAGGGCGGCCTTTCAACAGGCTCTGACCACATTCTCATTTTATTTACAGGCTCTCTTACATCCTCTTGTATTCTTGTGACTCTAGGCACTGCACCTTAAACCTGGGACACTAGATATTAGTTCATAATATCACCACAACCCTTTCTAATGTTTCATCTCCATCAAGCTTCTAAGAATGACAATTGCTCAGTAAGTTTAATCTGACATGGATGCAACGTTTCATGTGTAAGCAGGGAAGTTGGGGTCCAAGGAAGAACTTGATGCACTTTATTTTTATTTAATTAATTAAATTTTTTTTTTTTTGAGTTGGAGTCTCACTCTGTCGCCCAGACTGGAGTGCAGTGGCCGCTCCCGACTGGGCTCCGGCGATCCTTCCTCCTCAGCCTTCCAAGTAGCCAGAATTACAGGCGCGCGCTACCACGCCCGGCTAATTTTTTGATTTATTGTAGAGATGAGGTCTCGCCTGCCCAGGCGGGTCTCGAACCCGCGGGCTCAGGCCATCCACTCACCTCAGCCTCCCAAAGGCGTGGGATTACAGGCTGAGCCACTGAGCCCGGCTTAATTTATTTATTTTTGAGTTGGAGTCTCATCCTGTTGCCCAAGCTGGAGTGCAGTGGCAACTCACGGCCACCCCAGCGTGGACCTGCTGGGCTCCAGCAATCCTTCTGCCTCAGCCTTCCAAGTAGCTGGAGCTACAGGCACACACTACCACCTCTTGGCTAATTTTTTTATTTATTGTAGAGACAAGGTCTCCCCAAGTTGCCCGGGCTGGCCTCGAACCCACGGGCTCAGGCAATCCACTCGCCTTGGCCTCCCAAAATGCTAGGATTACAGGCTGAGCCACCAAGCCCGGCCATTCATCCACTTTCAATCTTGTCTCAGTCCTGGTAACAACAGCAGTATTCTAACCAAACTCCAGATCTCCAATTGGCAAACCCCATACCTTTCAAGTGCCTCCCCAAGGCAAGGCAAAGCCTAGTCACTAGGGTTAGGTCAAGTCCTCAGTTGTGGAAACTTCGATAAAACAAAGAATTAGAACAAAGATCACTCAGAGAAAGGGCTCAATGTCCAAGAGGCCAGAAGGATGGAGGACAGAAAACGACAAAGCCGGGGTAAAGTATTAAGGAGGACCTATAGACTGACTTCAGACCCCCCTACTGACTTTCCAGTGAGGGGATCCCATCAGTAGGGGTGCCCAGCTTCTAAGATATACAGAGCCTGGGACTTAAGAGCCTCTCAGCTGACAGATTGTCTCCAGATGCTGGGAATTGGAATCAGGTAAAACACTAGAGACTGGGTTTAAAGCAGAACAGATTTATTGGCTTGAAATAAAGTGCTGAGCATTGAATTTTTTTAAATTGTCTAGTGATTCTAATGAGTGCCCAGAGTTGAGGACCACGGAGTTTATGAGACTATATAACCATTTCCTTCATAATGTCAGCAAGTCAAATAACTAAAAATAGATATTTAAATAGTTAAAACACTCAGTAAATAGATGGGTCAAACATTCATTTCAAGTGGCCCATCACCCTGTTACTTCTCCTTCATTAATGGCTCTACCCACTGAGAGATAAAGTCATAAAGCCAAAAATTTCATGTTCTAAACAAGTTTTCATACTCTTAAATGGAGAACAAAAACAAGTGAGACCACATACCTGGCCAATGGACTGCCATTCACACAGCATTCTTTCATTAGAATGCAAATTGAGAACATAACATTGTAGGAGCCTGCTAAGTAAACTCAATAAGATCAATCTTATAAAGCATTTCTGGTTCAGTAGTTTAATATTATATTCTAACAATTGGTAATTATTAAATTATGTAAGGGAAAATTACACTGAATATTAATATTTAAAGCTCTATTTACTTGCTGGGTGCAGTAGCCCATGCCCGTAATCCCAGCACTTTGGGAGGCCAAAAAGGGAGGACTGCTTGAGCCCAGGAGTTGAAGATCGGCCTAGGCAACATAGCAAGACCTCGTCACTACAAAAAATAAAAATAAAAAAAATAAAAAAATTAGCTGGGCATGATGGCACATGCCTATAGTCCTGGCTACTCAGGAAGCTAAGGCTGATAGATCACCTGACCCCAGGAGGTCAAGGCTGTGGGGAACCGCAATTATGTCACTGCACTCCAGCCAAGGAGACACTTCATTTCTAGCCTAGAGTGAGACCCTGACTCGAAAATAAAACAAAACCAAAAAAAATTTTATTTACAAAGCGGTAAAATTTATGCTTTTAGTGAAACAAAACAACTTTGAAATACCATCTTCACCAATATCAAATTCAAAATTTTGTGAGAAAAATTATAACAGAATCAGAATTTTAATTTTAAAATCACAAAGAAAACATTGTATTCAGCAGATGATCTTAAGAAGTAACTTGACTCACTATATGGACTTTCTGGTGGCCTGGAATGATTAGGAGATTATTTTCCAGTCTGATGTCATTCATTACTCTCCCTTTTCCTAACCATTATCACTTACTATGGCGTGGAAAAAGAAATTTTAATTTTGAAGCGAGTTTCAAAATACTCCTAACTAAAAATCATTAAAGATTTAGTAAAAATGTATATTCAAAGTATATTCAATAAAAACAACTGAAGTCATCTGGAATTTCTGTGATACCATTTGATAGCTTCCAAACAATAGAAGGAAAACCCAAATAAGGTTAAAACTCAAGAGATGTGAGTTTGAGCTGCAGTTCTACCATTAACTATCTGTATGACCCTGATCAAGTTATGTAGTCTCTCTTAATAGCAGTAACCACCCTGTAACCTCATATACATATGCATGTGTGCTTTACGACTACAGTCAAGGCTAGGCCCAAAACTCTGTTTCTAGAAAATAAGTAACAAGAAAAAGAACTGGGAGCCTATGGGTTAACTCTGTAAAGCACCGTAATAGCTGTGTTTTAGTTTTAATTTGTTTAAATAATCCGAAACACTTCAAAGCCTATGATTACAGATGATCTGTGAAAAGGTTTTAATATCTATTGCAATACGTATTATTAATATTAAAACGTGTTCTGTGAGGTCCCCAAAATTGCATGTCAGTTTTAAAGTGTGTTCTGGAGAGGCTCTGCTTCCTTCCTACCACTGCACGCACCTTGAAACACCCATGTTTCCTGACTGTCATTATTCCTTCTCTAAAGTATACTTACCGGTTCCTCCCATCCCTGATAAAAAGCTATCATGCTCTCTTCTATCATACTTAAAGTCAGGTTTTCTCTTGACTGGCTTACAGAATCAAGGAAAAAAATGGAACCCGGAGACTTAAATTTAACCAAAATTTTTTGGAGGCTAAGAACAATAATTTTCTCCTGACCTCACTGTCCAGGATTGAGTAGGAACTGGCTAAAACTACCAAAACACCTGATAAGAGGTGCTTTGGGAGAGACAGCAGGCCTCCTGTTAGAATGGTTACACTTTTTCAGTTTAAAAGTCATATTCGCGCAACTTACCATTGTCCCGAAAGGAATGGCTCTTGAAGCATGGTAGTAAATGGCTATGAAATTGATGAAGAAGGCGGTGCCACACACCATGGCTGGGATGAGGAATGCCCCAATAAACATCTGTTTTATCCATCTTCTTCCTGAAAGGGAGAGCAACTTGAAAACCAGAGCTAGATGAACAGGCATGGTGTTTAAAATGTAATTATCTAGCACTAAATTGTTTATTTAAAATTATATTACAGAGATCATGAAATTTAATATCCTAATGACTGTTTCAAAGCAATAACTAATAAAAACCAGCCCAGCTCTTTAAGTATGTATAATGGAAACATCACTTCTAAAGTGTGAGTAAGGAAACCAGTAACCACCTACAGTAAAATACTCATGCTCTGTCTTGATTCTGCCACTTAACCGCTATGGGACTCTGGTAAGACACTCCTGTTGCCAGTCTCGCTGGGCCTCGATGGAGATTTTAAAACGACTACTTGACGTTCCAGAGCTTCTCGGCATGCCCACGAAGTTACTCTGAAGGGAAATTCAAGGTCCCCCAGCCCTGCTTCCACCAGAACAAATCCACTCTCAACAGTTTTCCACAACAGAGTTTCATGTAAGCTTTCATTTGAAAAGGGTGTCATATGCTTTTTAAAATGTCTTAAAACCCCTGAATTAGGTAGTTTCTAAATTTACTCTTAGCTCTGTAATTATGATTATAAATATGTATTTAAGGGCATTTCCATGTTTGAAGATAACAGTGTGTTTCATAAGCTCTCTTTCAACAACTAGAACTATAGATTTATAAGTTTCACTCTTTCTTTGTACTTCTGTGTATTGCCAAAATTCTATACATATTGAGCAGGAATATAATGAAAAATTTTAAGTCATGGTTACACCAACCAGGAGGGCAGCAGAAGCTGCCTTTCTAATACAGCACAATACAAGCTGGCAGAAAACATCTTCATACAGCTTAGAACAGAATGTAAAGATTTAACACTGACTCACTATTAAAAATCAACCCCACGATCAGAAGTAACAGGACCAACAGGAAGCACTATGGGAAAAACAAGCAATACCCTCACTTTTATTTTCTTCTATATAAAGGTCTTCTTTTCTGAACCCAGGGATTTGAGAGAAGCCTGGGCAACTTGGTGAGACCTCGTCTCTACATTATCTCAAAAAATTAGCCAGGCATGGTAGCACATGCTTGTAGTTCCAGCTACTTCGAAGGCTCAGACACAAGGATCGTCTGAGCCCAACAGGTCGACGCTGGGGTGGTCGTCAGCATGCCACTGCACTCGAGGCCTGGGCGATGGAGTGAGAATCCCAATTCAAAAAAAAAAAGGGACTCAGAGTCAGTCAGGGTCTCACTCTGTCTCCCAGGCTGGAGTACAGTGGCATGATCAAATGGCCCACTGTGGCCTCGACCTCCTGTGTTCAGGCAATCCTTCCACCTGCTGGGATTACAGGCATACACCACCACGCCCAGCTAATTTTTTTCTTTTTTTTTTTTTTGTAGAGATGAGGTTTCACTATGCTGCCTAGGCTTAAAGTTCTTTTTAAACATCTGTCTCACAGAATTACTACCCCAAATCACTAACACTCCTCCAGAAAAACTCATTGATTCTAAGCCTTCTCCTCTATTCCATTCTCTTACAAGGTAAGTTTCAAGAACCTCTCCTTTCCAATGAAAACCCAGCACTTGAACAGCACCACAAAAAGGTGGCACCTAATAAAATTAAGTATTACTTCCATTTGATTCCAACACCCTCCTAGCATTTTCTTCTCCTGCACTTTCCATCATCTTCTCAGATTCAGACACGTATTAATACAACTCCTTATCCAACAACTCTCTTCACCGCTCCCTTTCCTTCTAACAGAAAGAGCCCTACGCACGTCCCACGGGTACAGGTAGTAGCCTGGACGTCTATAGTGCTATGCTTTCTGCTCCTCCTCAGACCTTTGGAGACTGGCGAAGCTCCAGGCTACCCCTGGCTTCCCACTGGCTCTAGAGCATCCTTTAGGCACCAAGGTCACCGCGAAAGCTTTAAGCTTCACTGTAGTTCATATCCTGAGATAACTCTGAAGAATCCTTGATTCCCGGGTTCAGACAAAATACCAGGACACTAGCAATCAGAACATAACCTTTAGAGATTTCCTAAGATTTGATCTTCCTAGACTCAAACTTGAATTCTGTCAGCAAGAGACTGACAAAGATCAGCGAAGAAGTGTCTTATGGTAAATACTTCAGACTCAACAGAAATCAACAGCTATTCTCCTATTCTCCTTCCACTGTCCAGAAACTTTCCCCATAGGCCATTAGACATGCCTTTGTGTGTGTCTATAAAGTTATGCTCTGTGGAGGTCTCACACGGAGCACATGTAGGGAGTGAGACAGCCCAGAGCACATGCATTACTCACCTAATACATAAATGGATTACTCTCCTAATGCTCCTCAGGGCTAACTTCACAGTGGACAATGGAGATCAACTATTAATTATTCATAATCTTAGGAAATAAAATGCAGCAATTCCATAGAAACAAGAGAGAACACATAGCAGGTTTGGTAAAAATGATGTGAAATGGGATAACAAAGAGTTTTCCAGTGGACATTTTAAATTCCAAACACAGCACAGTAAGATATCAGCCTCTGTAATTAAAAACAGGAAGTGGCCATGGCTGAGTTACCTCCTTGTCTAGCATACAGACTTCCTCCAAAATAACCATTCACTGGAGATGTAGCAGCATAGACAAATATGGCCGTGCTGAGCATCGATCCCCTCCTAGAAAAGCAGGACACCAAAAATGAAAACCAACAGCTTAAAGAAAACATCGTATTGTATTAGTATAGGATGAACTTCAAAGATACATTGAACAGAAACATAAAAATTATCACATCCTAGACTACAAAACAAAACCTCCAAACGTTCTCTATAATAAATGAATTTGTAGTTAAAACTACGCTTTTATGATGTCAGGCTGACCCCAATTTTTTTAAACCTGCAGTTACACTTCATAATACATCCCAAACAAATATTTCACATTATTTTGGCACAAGTATTAGAATCTGGCACTAAAATTGTTTTTGCGACCCTGCAAACCAACCCTATCATATGGAACAAGATAATCATCTGCTAAGAAAAATAACTAAAGAGTCCTTTTTATAAATTGATTTAACTGTTTATGATTCTTGACTGCTAAGAGAAAATGGAAATAGCATAATTTATATTAAGTGGTATCATTCTAAATGGTAATAATGCTGAGTCTTCCCTGTTTAGTTTACTTCATACTGTTAAAAGTGATTTTTAAAAAATCTACAGGTCCACGAGCCAACATTAACTCAGATCAACATTTTCTAACCTTCCATCTATGTAGTGGGAAGAAGATCCTAGTCTCCTCCTTCAATGTTGATATCTAGGGAATCAGACCAACCTTCCCATTGAGTAAAACTAGAAAAAATTCTTTTGTTTGTTCGGGGTCTCACTCTGTTGCCCAGGTTGGAGTGCAGTGGAACAAACATGGCTCACAACAGCCTCAAACTCCTGGGCTCAAGTGATCCTCCTGCCTCAGCGTCCCGAGTAGCTGGAACTGCAGGCATGCACCACTATGCCCGGTTCATTTTTTAATTTACTTGTAAAGGCAGGGTCTCACTATGTTGCCTGTGCTGGTCTCAAACTCCCGGGTTGAAGCAATCCTCCCGCCTCAGCCTCTCAAAATTCTGGGATTATAAGCATGAGCCAATGTGACCGGCCGAAAAAATTGTTTAAAATACTTAATTGAGAAGAGAAATGTTAAAATGGTAACATCATTATGTTTCAACTCACTCGTCTTGAACTATATAGCACTCCTCTGCTTAAATACCTATGCTCAGTTTCTTTTTTTTTCCCTCAGAATTGGTCGAGATAAAGCAGGTCTCTGCTCAGTTTCTTTTTTTTGAGTTGGAGTCTTACTCTGTCACCCAGACTGGAGTGCAGTGGCCGCTCCGGCCACCGCAGCCTCGACCTGTTGGGCTCTGGCGATCCTTTCGCCTCAGCCTTCCAAGTAGCCGGAATTACAAGCATGCACTACCACGCCCGGCTGATTTTTTGATTTATTGTAGAGATGAGGTCTCACTGCCCAGGCAGGTCTCGAACCCGCGGGCTCAGGCAATTCACTCACCTCAGCCTCCCAAAGGCGCGGGATTACAGGCTGAGCCACCAAGCCTGGCTGCTCAGTTTCTTAATGTGGATGCATAATAGGGAAAACACTGCACTATTTCCTTTCTGCCAATACATAGTAAACTGAAATGTAACAAAAGAATTTGTCATTTCCGAGTTTAAAAGTTCCAAGGTCTCAAAGCTAATCAGTTTTTAAACCCAACTTGTTTTTTCAGGAACACAACAGAACATCACGAGTCCTAAAGTGTTCCTTTCAGACTACCACTAAAAACTTCATCCCATTCTGTTTATAAATGTGTGTTGAGGATGATGCAGGCCTAACAACGCTGAGAACAGGAAAGCTGCATTCAGCCTAATACCAGCCCGCTACTAGTCAGAAGTTCCTAATATCAGAAGAAAAGGTTCAAAAAGGCTGCCAGGGTACTGAGAGTTCCAAATGCCTGCCAGTCATGTCCCCAGAGACACTTCCACTCCATTCAAGTTTGAGTAGCCATCAGACCTTTGGAAGTCAGACATAACCTTCACCTCTTTGTTCACAAATATTCTATGGGCGTTGCCTGCCCCATCCACCCTCTAAGCAAACCATTTCACCCTCACTGGAAAACCTGCTGAGGGAGGGAACTGTCCTCCTGACGGGGGGGCCATCCGAGGCACTCTGCTGCCGCCTGCCATCACCTCACCACACTCCACCAAAGCCCTGGCGCTGCAGCATCACCACCCTCAGCCCTGCCCTCTCACTCGCCATGCCTTCTCATCACCACCGACAGGCGTCCATGCTGCCACGGATCCTCCACCTAAACCCTCCACGAGTTCTCCCCGGTTGCCATGGTGACCACAGAGGCCAAGCAGTGTTTGCATGTTTCGTGATCTGTGCTTGCCCCTTTGGAATCGTTCCTACTCAGGAGGGAGCACCCCAATTTAGGTGCAACGTTTCATTTCCTCACCATTTTGTGTTGTACTGTCGCTATTTCCTTTCCCTATCATAGAAAATTAAGGAAGTTTTTGGGAGTAAGACTGCCTAGGCTCAAACCCCAGCACATAAATACTCTTTACTAACAGCTGTGTGAGCTCAGTCAAATTACCTAGCCTCCCTGAGTTTTACTTTCCTCCTCTGTAGAATGGAGACAATAATAGTCTTTTCACAGGGCTGATGTGAAGATTAAAGTATCAAATGTGCATACGGTACCTCCCATGAACCCTCAGTCATGTTAGCCACCTTTACATCATAATATTTACTGTTTCAGTACTTACCATATAAGTAACGAATTATGTTCACGTCAAACAAACACAACACAGAACAATCGTTCACAGTAATGATAGACTAAAATAATAACGCATGACTAGTCTGCAAATACCATGTATTAGAGATGGATTTATTTCTTAGTTGAAAGTCTTTAAGAGCTTCTATACTAAAAACTAAGTTGCCAAATGATAACACTAACATTTTGAAATGGAACAAAGCAAAAGTTGGATTCTACAAGAAGTTACCCTCTAATGGTTCCTAAGATTGCGACATTATAGTCAATTCAGTAGTGACTAATGTAACGTAAAGCACAACTTCTTGGTAGATTTGAAATACTTTTTGTATTTGGGATTCCATTGATCTGGAAAATATTCTCCCCTAAAATATTAACTACTCACCAAAACCCCAAAGATTTGGTTTGGATTAATTATTTTAAAGCTTATATGGTATAAATGAATTGCAAACGTTATATAAAAGAAATGTAACAGAAACCACAGAGAAACAGCTTTGATGGCTAACACATACTCGGTCCAACAAGCGTTGATTGGGGACCTTCCACGTGCAAAGCTCCTGTGGGCACTCTGAGAATTCAAAGACCTGGCCAGTCCTTACTCTCAAGCTATTTAGAACACAAGTTAAATATGTAATACATAACTGAAGAGTCATTCTTTCAGCAAGATTTACTGCTTATCCACCATGAAATACAACTGGAGAAAAGTGTCATTCTGACTGAGGGTTTCATGGGAGAGCATCTGAAATGCCTGAAATATAACTGCCATCACCCAGGCACTAGGGTATGTTTGTTGCATATAGGTCATGGCCTTCCAAGCACAGCATTATGAACCACTCAGTGGGGACTTCAGATCTTTTGTGAATGTGTAACTTTTTATTACACTGTAAAGACCTCAAATCAAGAGGTTTTGAGGTTCTTGCCATTGGTTTTGTCTGCAAAGAAAAAATGTACCAAAAGCCTCGTAAAGATAGAATATTGACCTAGGACTCTTTTTTTAAAGAAGTTATCCAATTATTTTTCTAACTTCAGGTGACTGTTCTGCCACCTTTTTTTTTTCACTGATATTTACAATTATTTCTTCTATTCTGCAGAAGTCTCCCAGTTTGGGAGGTAAATGTAATTTAGTAACTACAAAATCCTTGTACTTCTTATGACGTTCTAATTAGATCTTCAACTTTCAAAAAAAATACCTATCACTCTGTCAAAGAGTTCTGGATTGAAAGTAACCTCTGCTCACATCTCTAACTGAATATAACCTTTATAATTAACCAGAATGTTCAGTAATGCCAGTAAAATACTTATACCTGAAGACTATTGTGCATTTAATTTGCCTACATGAATAACATTTATCATAAATTCTAAGATAGCTGAATAAGCAAATAATTATGATCAATTTAGGTTCCAATGATTAAAACTATTCAAGAACAACAAAAAAGTAGTCAAGTACAGGCACTTACTCTGTATAGAGATCTTCTATCATTGCAACAATAATGACAATGAGAGACACGGCAAATATCTGGCAGCCAGAGCCAATGAGGGAGGAGAATATCAGGGGGTGACTTGACGGTCTGAACACATCTCCATGCACTTGCTTCCACCCGTACTCATCTCCTAGGTCTCTGTCCTATGTACAGATGGAGAAAAGCAAATCATTCCGAAGCAATATGAAATACAGCAGAACAGAAAAAAATTAGCTGCAAGTTTCCTCCCTCCAAATTTATAGCAATTTAAAGAGGTCCAAAATATTGATAAAAGACATCTCAAATTTAAAGTAACTGTTGCCTTAATAACTTATAATGTTGAAAAGTAGAGGTGCAGGAAGGTGACTCCTGGTGGTGCTCAGAGAATCACAAAGAATGAAAAAAACTTTTTAAGGTATGGGGGAGCAAGAAGAAGTGGTAAGCTGGAGAAGAACAGGACACTGACTCTCTGGATACTCCCTTCTGACACTGCTCTCGCCATTCACAGCACAACTGTGGCTCAAGTACAACTGCAGAGCAAGTGGGAGTGAAGAGAGGAGCCTCAAAACCAGGGCTAGATGCACAACAGGCAGGCATGCCCTTGATGGCCCAGGATGTGGGAAAACAGAGGGGGAAATATCAGATAGAGATGGTTTTATTTACTATGTATATAGCATGTTTTAAAAAGAATTCAGCCTTTACTTTTCAACCTGAGTAAACCTGAGTATTGCCTTTGAAACAGTTCCTAAAATGGTTAACAGTCTCTAAAACTATGTTTCTTCAGAAATAGCAGTCCCTCAGATAACCAGTATGGAGAGGCCTGTGGAATCCTGGTCAGACGCGTTTGAGAGGGGCCAAAGGTTGTACCTCTCTCTGATACTTCACAATATACTTTAGCATGCCAAAATGTAAAATCTTAAACTGCTTCCCAAACATATTTAATGATGGGCACACCTACATGGAAAAGCAATTAACATTCTACAGAACGTACTTTTTGTTCTACAATTTAGTGAAAGAATTTAGAAAACAAACCTTTCCTCTGAATCCACTAAACTAAATGCAAATTATACCTTCCACTCACTTCCTAAATTTTATGCAACATTTTACAGTACTAGAAAGTTCCAATACAGGACTACAACTTTGTAGCTACAATTCTGAAATAAAAAGCTCTGAAGACTAAAAGTTTGTTTCTTAAGTTTGACATATCCTTATTCGGTGGCAAAACCTGGCCTGAACTAACAAAAGGTTACCTATGCTATTTATCCATCCCATGGAGGGTGAACAGTAGTATGTTTTGCTAAAAAAGCACTGCTATATTTGATTACAGGGCATGGTCCTAGACCACACTGGGCACTTTACACCCTTATGAAACCTAAAAATTCTCAATGCTGAAAATTCAGCTGGCCTTAAGGATTTCACGTTAGAAACTGTGACCAACATTCCAAATAACGCTGAGTTCAACGGTTTTTGTTTTTTGGGGGGTTTTTTTAGAAAGCAGGATTTATTGAGAGGACAGAAAAGCTCCCACAGTGGGAGGGGACCTGAAGAGGTTGCCCCCCAACAGTTTTTACAAATATAACGTGCCACATTTGCTCACCATGTCATCCATTTCTTCTTCTTTACTGTAGCGGGCATAATCTTTCCTTAAGGTTCTCATTAAAATCATTGAAACTAAGCCCACCAAGAAGATCACCATCATGAAGGAGTTGAAAATTGAAAACCAATGAATCTAAAATAACCAAAAAAAAAGTGTTACCAACATGAAATATCAGTCACAAAACTCACTGGTCTCATGATGACAGTTGGATGTTAAGGCAAAACAACAACAGTCTGTTAAAATCTT